TTACCTTACCTACGTTCTATACAAAACCGAAACTACAATAAATACTAACTTACGGTAGACAATAGACCTTACGTAGAAGAGCACGTTAACCTACTGATGCTCTCTCTCTCTCTCTCTCTCTCTCTCTCTCTCTCTCTCCCACCCATAGCCTCATTTTTCATCATGCCTCACTTCTGTATCCCTAAAGAGAGTTAAAAACACATCCAGTGAGTTACAGCTAAAGGATGGAAATATGGGAAGAGAACATGTACAATACACATCATCGAGCAACAATCGTTGCAGCCACAATTAAAATGAGGAGAAGATGTGAAGCTGTAAACACCAACCGTCGAGACGCTTCACAGCCATGCCACACCCTCACTGCTGATCCTCAAATTTGAAAACATCTTGTCAAACTTCTTCCCTCAAGTAGTATGAAAGACTCAGAATGACCAGTACCCGAAAAGATACATTCAATCCTGGAGATGAACCAAACGTTGATTGTTCTAATCAACAAAAACCTTCAACAGAATGATGAGTCAAGAAGCATGTCACACTGCTATCCATAGGTTTTACTGAAGGCTTGAGCAAACCATGACAACGCACCAAAATAATAGCGATAGGCATGCAACTAGACTATCCATCCTTCAGAACTCCATGGAGAGAGAGAGAGAGAGGAGAGAGGATTACCAACTATGTGGGCTTTGTCTTGCGCCCAATCCCTGTTTGCGATATGCGTTTCAGGTCATGTACACCGCTTCTCATTTCTCTGTCCAGACAACATTTGTGCCCAAGGAAACCAAAAAAAATGAAAATTGAACCATACAAATAAACTAGTCAGGGTGGATGGTGATATGGATCCATACCTTCGGTACAAATAGACAATACCATAGAAAATAGGAAGCAGCATCAGAGTCAGTATGGATATGGCAAGGTAGAAAACACTGCTCCGCTTCTGCAGACATGATATAACAGAATAAAAGACATACAGAGAGCCAAAGAGGGGAAATAGCAGACACAGTAGACAACCACCCTTACCATTTCAAAATCACTTTAATAATATGCTAGGACACTGGGTAATAACTACATAACCATTTTCTGCACTTCCAAATATCTCTTCGGTATGTATTAAACAATGCAATTCTAACCAAATTCTTCTAACTGACGTGGTTTACAAAGTCAATATCATGAATATCCATTCCCTCAAGCAGCTCTCGCACTCAACAGGGCTAAATCCACATTTATTGCAAGAGTAATACCCATTGGTTTTTGGAAACTTCTTCCAAAATTATTTGTAATCTCAAGCTCACAAAATCCAGGAAAATAATATTTTAATCATACTGGCATAAATTCATCAAAACATGCACTCAAAGGTTAAAGATCAATTGCGCGACATGTGGTGCACTCTATTGACGAACTTGTGATCCTGGAATTGAAAAGGCTTAATTTACATCTACCAGATAACCCATGTAAATACTTTACCAGAGCCAATGTTCAGGGAAGAGAGAGGCCAATGTTGGAGAGAGAGAGAGAGAGAGAGAGCATACCCTGCCACCTCGGGCAAAGGGTTTATGTCGCCCAGAACAGGAGTGTGCATCACAGAACTGCCGCAAGAAGAACTCTAGAACGAAGGAGTCAGAATACAGACTAGGGATACCAGAGTTGATCACAAAGTGAGAGGACAGTAAGTACCATGAAGCCGGCTAGTTGAGTGGCCCTCATTCACAGGAAAGCAAGTATCTGCCAGACTCTATCAAGATGAAAGTAAAATTATGAAGCATTAAAACAAAGATGGAGATGTAGTAACAGGGACATGGCTATGACCACAAAAAACCTGGCAAAGATGTCGATTCTTGGCTGCTGCGGCCGGATTGCATTTGGTCTTGCGCTGCTTGGACTCATCTACAAGGTCACAATGCAAAGCTCCACATAGGTCAGCTAGGCATCGGTCATGAGTCTGCATTCAAAAGTGATTGTTCAATAAAGTAATCATATGGAAGAAAACAGGAAGTATATCTGAAGCCAACATAAAACAAATTAAGGCGATAATTAATAGACCAATCATCAGAATAAAATTAAGAGCAGCTCCTAGGAATCCTGGCCCCAGTTCGTGATCAGCCCAACCATGCATAGAATAATGGATAGGTAAAGGCCTTAAGGCCACACAAACCCCAACATCTTCAACAGACTGAATAAGATGAGAGAGCCAAGTCTGCCAGCATTGAGATTTGGAACTTGAAATGACTTTTATGATGATTAATATACATATTTTTATTAGTGGTAATGATATTTCCTACCTCAATGTGCACTAGTTAACAAAGGCAACCATGGCTAACATCACTACCTCAAGGAATAAAAGCATATAAGCAAACAACAACATTTGGGACAAAAATGTAAGGGTGCCATAGCTTCCATCACTACAGCACTTTCCATGTTTGTTTGCTGGAAGTGCAATGTTTATTTGGAAGCCACAACTTCAACATCAAAATGACGTGCTTTGGGGAAGCCATCGCTTCCATGCTAATCACCCATGGAAGACCAATCTATCCTTAGAAGCCGAGGCTTAGGCAGCCTCTTCCATGGAACAATGCCCCATAAGAGTCTAGTCACATTGAAGTCCAATCTATCCTTAGAAAAGGAACTGAAAAGGAAAAAATCTAGAAGAATTATTATAGCCATGAGTAGGGGGGAAAAATCTGACTCGTAGTATCATATACATTAGCAACATCTATGAAGGAGAAGAATTTCCCTCCTAGAGTAACATTTATAGCGAGTGATACCTTGACACCTTGCATTTTGCCTAGTGTCGAGTTTGAATGCTCACTGATATGGGCAAGGCACTTAGTGTTGGGCACTGTATGAGGCATGTCAAAAGTCACTTTTGGCAAAGGTGTCAACCATTTAAGCATGGGGTGTCTTTTCCATTGGAAGCAAAAATGGCTTTGGAAGTATATGATTCTTTAATTTCTTGGTTAAGATGCACGAGGTCTACCAGTAATGCCATAGAAGCAATAATGATGCATTGTTCAAAATGCTATGGTTTATATGAGTATCACAAAAAAGGCAATACATGGTTTTAAAAATTAAATGGGAGGAACAACAGACTTATGCATAAAAAGGTTACAAATAATCGTTGCATCCACTTCTTCTTAAATAAATATTTAAAATTTTAAATTTAATACCTTTTTTAGACAGTTCTTAACTGCACATTAGCCACCGGCCCCTACCCTGCAGTCCCTGCCACACACTCTATCCCATCATAACACCAAACACCAATGGGCTTTCAGAGGTGTCCTTAGCCCTCCGCTTTCCATCACCAAAGCTCAATCCACATCAAGCATCCCTTTTGAAACCCCTCCCCCTGCACAAAAGATTCCCTAATCCGCACCCACTCACACCTCAACCATAGGCTCTCAGATCTGTGCACCTCGGACAGGCATCAGCTCAAGTGTCAGCACTGCATCATCAGCAGAGACTTCTTCCATGAGTGGGACATTATTCTCAGATGCTGACTCTGATGAAATCAAGCACATAGACATGTCAGCAGGTAACATTTGACCAGATTCTGGACGTGATGGGTTCGTGTATGATGGCCCAATCTTTGATATTAGCAACACTCCAAGGAATGTGCTAATGGCTGAGTCAAAAGAAAGCTCAAAGGCCTCTCAGTTTCAATTACTTTGAGATGCCTAGAGATTCCTCTTCAGTCCCTCTTCATAGGCTCTCAGATCTGTACACCTGGGACAGGCATCGGCTCAAGTGTCAGCACTTCATCGTCGGCAGAGACTTCTTCCATGAGTGGGACATTACTGATGAGGATGAAGGGGAAGAGGGGGTAGCATGGTTGCTAATCAGAGCACTAAGGGTAAGGGGGGTTTTGGGTCTAAGAAGCCTCATAGGAAAGGGCTTATTGATAGTTTTTTACACCTAGCTCCAAGACAGTAATTGATAAAGGGAAGGGAAAGGGAAAAAAGCAAGTGACAATCAAAAATAAATTTAAGTACGAAGACAGAGGTTGGGTGATTCGGTACATTGCTTGGTGGTTTTACCATGCGAGCATTTCTTTTAACACCGCTTGCTTTAACAACTTCCATACAATGTTGGAAGCAATTGGGTAATTTGGGCCAGGTTTGAAAGGCCCAACTCCATATGAGCTTGGTGCGCCATTATTGAAGAAAGAAGTTGCGCATACTAAAGAATATCTTTAGACCCATAAGGAGGGTGATCTATGGAGTAATAGGAGGAGGAAGAGTACCATGAATTTGTTGGTAAATTGTCCCTTTTATGCTTGAGGCCATTGGTGATATGGCTACTATTAATGGAGTTCTTTCGAAGGCTAAGGAGGTTACAAAATTCATATAAAGCCACAAAATTTTTTTTGGTTAAGTCAGTAGGCGAGAAGGCCCCCTACCCTTAGCATGATGCACAAGTTTACTAAGAAGAGAGAGTTAGTGAGGCCCGAGGTCACTAGATTTGCCACTGCCTACCTTAGTCTAAAGAGCATGTATAGCAGGAGGATTCCATTGAGGTCTATGTTTGCTTCAGAGGAGTGAAGTAGGTGCAGATAGTCTAAAGATGCCAAGGGAAAGAAGGCACGAGATATTCTCCTTTCTAAATATTTTTGGCATGGGGTAAAGCATGCGATAGGAATATTCTACCCTTGGTGAAGGTCTTGCGATTGGCTGATGCTAATAAGCCTCCATGGGCTTTATATATGATGCACTAGAAAGAGCTAAGGAGATTGCAGAGAATTTGTGCAATGATGAGGCCAAGTATGGCCCAATTTTGGAGATTATAGATACCAAATGGGATAGGCAGCTCCATAGACCATTACATGCAATGGGATACTACTTGAACCACAAATTCTTTTATGCAAATGATGATAGTGAAGCAAAAAGTACAATTATGGATGGTTTTAATGAGTGCCTTGAGAGATTAGTTCCCGATCCACATATCCGAGATAAGATATCAACTGAAGACCTCATTTCATATAAGTGTGCTTTGATGTCATTTGGGAAAGATATAGCATTAAGACAAAGAAACAAAGATGAACCAGGTAATATATTTTGTACTTTTGATTGATAATCTTCACTCAACTTTCAAGTTCCTAAAATTATGTATGATAATGTTAAATACCTATATTAATTATAAAGGTTGCCCTCATATTGCAGCCCAATGGTGGAGACAACATGAGACTAGTGCTCCACACCGTCAGAAGATGACTATTCAAATCTTGAGTTTGACAACTACCTCTTATGGTTGTGAATGCAATTATGATGATCTTGTTTACAAGTTCATTTTTCTAACATAGATTCATAGAAGATAAGAAGATCATAAAAGTCTAGTACTCATGCACTTTTCCTTATAGGTGCATACAAAGAGACGAAATAGGTTTGAGCAAAGGAAGCTCAATTACTTGGTTTTGTTAGAGAGAATCAGAGGCTCATAGAGAAGTTTGACCAGTAAAGAAGGATCTCGTCGCTTCGAAAGACATGCAGAATGCTTCAAGTTGGCTAGTTGGAGACCCTCATATTAAGGACGACTTCCCTGAGGAGAGTTTGACCTGGGAAATGGTCGAGGAGGCTTCGGAACGAGAATCTGATCTAAGGAGGGCCACTCGAGCAACGACTTTTGTTGGTACTTCACACTCACAACATGAGATAGAGGAAGAGGAAGCATATTCATACGAATCTATGGAAGAAGAGGAATATGTTGAAGAGGGTGATGATTCTGATGATGACGGCCTTGATTCCGATGCAGATGCAAGCAATAACAATGATGATTCTTATTCTTATTGATATCCTCTCTCTTCTTTTGTAGTATCTTTAGTACACCATCTTGGTTTAGGATTTAAACATTTGAGTTTTAGATGTTAGACATACTATTTTTCACCTTTTTGGACTATTTTGTTGGGTGGTTTATACTTTTATAAGTCAACTTGTTGAAGACCTAGAGAGTTGGAGACTTGGAATCCATGTCATTATGGATATCGAATATAGAGAATTAGAGAGTTGGAGACTATCAAACTATTACTCTTACATAGCCTATTAGACTTTTAATGTTTTGAATTTTGAAATTTTGAAGAACTCAATATGCAATATGTCATATATTTGTATCATAGTTGATAGGATCGGGAGAGGGAACGGTACTAGGAGTGACGGATCGTGAAATTCTAGAAGATCCCTATGGTTGGGAACGTTGTCCATAGAATGCACATGGTATGGCTCAAGATCCCCAAATGTTAAAGAGATCGAGATTCCAACCTTTTGGGGATCTAGATCCCGACCTTTTGGGATCTTGATCCCAACTTTTTACAGATTTTGTTACCAACCTTAAAGTGTATGATAATCTTGGATTATGTGTACTCTTTAAAATAGGGATCTCATTATTGATAGCAAGCAAGCAATAGTTGTGTTGCTAGTTGGCTATAAACAAAGAAAATCTTCAGTTTGATTGTTGTCTTGGTCTTTAAGGTTGGGATAGAGATCCTTAATAGCAGGAATCGGGATCCCTATCAATGGGGTTCGAGATCCCAAAATTTAAAAATCGAGATTCCTAAGAGATCCATTCCGAAAGCGACAAAATTGAGGTTCTAAAAGAGATCGCCAAACAAAGTAGGAGATCTTGATAACTATGGTTTGTATATAAAAAATTATGTACAATATTTTCAAATGCAATAAATTAAACGTATGCATATATGTGCATTTGGACATCAAATATATGTATATATCTACAAAATTTGTATTACAGGAAGCCTGAGATTCTGGGTGCCCACCTGGGCACTGGGCATCAGGCCGGCCTCTTAGCTTTTCTTGAAACCTTGATGAGAAGTCCTACCTAACAAGGCAGCCTCGAGCAAGATCTGGGTCATGTGTCATCACCAGTGGTTTAATAAACGGATCGATGCCTTGAATTGGGCACCCCAAAAACCCATCCAGATCGGTGAATCGGCGATCC